GCCAAGGAGATGGCGGTCAAGGCAGGGAAGGTGTGAAGGAGCGCTCTGCCCCCTGCCATCCCGGGGTTGGGGGGGGAGGTTGGCCCTCCTCAGAGGCCTCTCTCCTCCCAGGACAGCTCCTGGGACTCCCAACTTGCCCCTCCCCCCAGGCCTGCTCTCCTCTTCTTCCTTCCTAGGCAGCATCCACTCTGGCCTTCTTCTCGATGGTTGGACCCTCCCCAGCTGCCTGCGGAGCCGGCTCTGCAGGCCTTTCCAAGGCTTTCCTAGAGGGGCAGAGAAGGACAGCTTTACAGGCAGTCCCTGACTCGTGACCACAATTGAGCCCAACATTTATGTTAAGTAAGAAATCTTTTAAGTGAAATTTACCCCATTTTACAGTTTTTCTTGCCTCAGCTGCTAAGTGAATCATTACAGCTGCTAAGTTAGCCCTACGGTCCTTAAGTGAATCCGGCTCTCCCATTGACTTTGCTTGCCAGAAGGTTGCAAAAAGGGGATCATGTGCTCCCCCCCCCCCCACACTGCAACCATCATAAATGTGAGTCAGTTGTCAAGCATCCGAACGAGAACCACATGACCCGGTTGTAAGTTGAGGACCAGCTGTGTTTTGCAGGGTGGTTTTGCACCCGAGCCTCCTTGCCAGGCAGAATCTTGCATGTGATATTCACTCCTTGACAATCTATTTAGCCTGGTGATTTCTGGCCCTTCTGTGGGTCCCTGGTTGGGACAAGAAATTTCAGCCACCAAATCGGATGAAGGAGTCCCAAAAGCCCCACTAAGGAGGAAGGAAGGAAGCAGGGGAGGGGAGAGGTCATAGGGCTGGGTGGATCCCTGCTGATCCCTGATTCCTAAGGATATTCAACCTCCCCCAGCAACAGCAGCTGTTGTTTTCTCTTGACCTGGCAAAGACAAATCACACAGCCAGGAAAGGCCTTGAAACCCTGTCTGGACACGATGGATCCTTGCACAGAATTTTAGGCCTTGGAGCATGGACATCTGCTGAGGATATTTGGTAAGGAAAGAAAGAAAAAGGAACGAAAGTAAACCCCACCCAGGGTTCTCCATCTGTGCAGGAACGCAGAAATTGCCATGGAGGACTTTCTGCATCAAATGCAAGTCCATTAAACAGGCATGCAGGAATGACTGTGCAGGATTTCAATTGTCCTGTGACCTGCCGAGAATTGGCCTTTGTCAGGAGACCCACAAATTCTTGCATTGTATGGCTGACGCTTCTATTTGTGTCCGAAGGTGGAAGAATGAGAGATCTGCTATCCTGGATCTCATCTTCATCAATCTCTCTTCTTCAATAAGGAATTGGTTGGAGGAACATGAGCATTGTAGGAAAGAGACGGGGTGATGCTTGAATTTGTGGTCTCCATGAGAAGGAACTGAAAAGATTCAGACCTGCGTACTGGAATCCGAAAGACCAGATTTTGACGAACATCAAAGCATGCAAAGACTTGAAATCTCGAAGGAAAACTGTAGAAGAATGGGAAATTTTACAAAACATTATGTGGTGGACGCAGTTTCAAATAATCCCGGTAAGAAAGATTATGGGAAACGATAGTACCAATTCAGGCCATGGCTGGAATCCTGTATCCAGCTTTAATTGCTACAGTAAAAAAAGGATGCTAAGGAATTGGAACAAAAGAATTTGCTAAAAAGGAGCTGGTTCCGCTGGGCCTTAAGGAAGAGGAGTCAGGAAAGCAATCTTCCCATATGGAAAAAAGAGCTGACCCAGGAAAGAGGGTGCGAATTTCTCCTCTTGTCAGGGCTGCAGGCAGGACAAGAACCAAGAGCTGGAAGCTTCGCAGAGGCATCTCGGTTGTGAGGCTCTCAAGAAAAGACGGGCAGCCCTTTGTCTGGAGTGCTCTGAAGCTTCCCGCAGGATTGGGATGAAAACTTGCTTCTAAGGCCCCTTTCAGCCCCATGGATTGTACTAAGAATATGAGCACATGTTGCAGTCCATCCTTCAAAGAATTAATAGGGAAACAAGGCCAGCTCACAGTGTGGTTTCTCTAAGAAATCTGATACCACAATTTGTCTGAAACACAATTTGTCACCCAAATCACAACTGCCAAAAAGTGTCTGGTTTAGAATGACACAATCTTTTCACCTGGATGCAATTCAGTATAATGCTTTTAAAAGCAATAAAATTACTGAAAGTGTGAAGCATGATGCAATCCGCCCTTCCTAGTAAGCATCTGACCATTTCTTCTATTCAATGTTTCTGCTCCCAGACTCAGTGAATCGGCGTTTCCACAAGTAGCAATCACTGCTAATAATCCAACTGTGGCATCTCCACTTGGGCACCGCTGGGTGTGCCCCACTCAGCCCCCCCATGAGGGAGGCTGGGCTGATTTCTCTGGCTACACCCCCCCACACAGGCAGCGACATTCCGAGAGAGAGAGAGAGAGAGAGAGAGGACCTCAGAGGTTTGTCCCTGTTTACAGGTGCACTTTTGGCTTCATCACCAAATAATAATAAAAACCACAACCACCAACAGCTTCTCCGATTTCTTGGGAAACTATTTATAGAATGATTTTAACTGAATAAGGACAATTTTTGTGCATAGGCAAACAAGAAAAAAATTTTTTTTCCTGCCTGAGTAGCCATGTCATGTCTATTTTTTTTTCCTTTTTGAACGTTACCTACTTGGGGCAAAATGGAGCCTCCTTTACCTTTCCCGTTTTTAATTCTCCCATTTCTGCCACGCAGCCTGAGACCCGAAGCATTTGGTGTGCTGTCTTTTTCCAGCTGCTCCAAAGCTTGGAAGTGAACCTCATTCATCACGACTTACATCCCGTACAGTGAAATGCACCAAGTGAAGCCAAATGCTGTCTTTTCCAGGGCTGGAGTGCCACTTGTACCAGGTGTGTCCAAAATATCACTGGGATTTGCCAGATGTTGAGGGAAATAATAGCCCTGGCTCCATAGGTCTCCTTGACCAGACTGTGGATGTCCGTTAGTCTTTTCACAATAAGCCCAAGGCAGCCAATTCGTCCGGAGTGTCAGGCTCTCAATCACAGCCTCTTTCCAAGCCCCCTGCCCATCACCTTTGTGATTAATGAAATGTTGGGCTGATGTTTCTGACAATTGCAGTTTCCCTTAGAAAGCATCACAGGGCAAAAACTTTTATAAACAACATTAATATTTATTAACCATAGTTCCAGAAAAGGAAAACCACCGGTATTTTTTAAATTATGATTTTCATACAATGATGAGCCTTTTAACCTTCAGTTTTATCCTTGGCCATTCATGGTCACTTTTCAAGGAGTGCAACAGATAATTAAATGACCTGCCCGATATTATAGAAACAATTGAGCCACAGTTTTAGCAGTAGTTCCATTGCATTTCCTGCATTGAAAATCTGCAATGTATGTCCGGAGGATGTCGAGTAGACTTTTGACCCTCACATAATAAGCTAACACTCCAGACCAATCCCACTTGCAAAATTGCGTCCTTTCCCCAAGTGACTTTGATTCAGTTTATCATTCATCATTTTAAGTGAGTTGTTGCAAGAAGAATTTAGATTGGCCCATATTGAAACAATTGGACAGCAGCATGGAATTTGCAACATCAACGTCTATTTAATGGAGGGAGGGGATGGCCATTTCTTCCAAGAAGGTCCATTGAATGCTGCATCTTCACCAAAACGCGAAGGAACAACGAAAGGCCAGGAAAAGATGAGGCTGTCGGAGATCCTGGGCACAGCGAATGTTTTGGGCGAACCTCATTGGAGCATCTCATTCTATAGCGCCTCCATCCATCCAGTCTACAAAAAGTAGCCAAACAGGATTGGAGACTGGCAACCGGCAATACCAGGCCGGCTTGCTTTAGGCCTACAATAAAACGCTGAGCAGAACATCTGGGATGGTTGGTCAGAGGGAGCGAAACTTTGTCACACACCCCCCCCAGGCACATTGCTTTCCTGGCATCCCTTGGACATACCCTGACGTAGTTCTGTAAAATTCTGCATAGGCCACAGGGAAGGTTCCCGGTGGTATAGCCCCCATTCCAGCCCAGGGAGTTTGGCTCCCCTAAGACCCTTATCACCTATGGGTGCACTTGCCCAGAGAGGCACCTTTTCCTCCCCTCCCCAAAGGCCTGAGCCCCTGGTGCCCAGCGAGGAGGAGCCGCTGCTGTCACCGGCAGGGCGTCCTCCTTTGGATGCCAGGCCTGGTTGCCATGGCAACTGAGGAAGGCAGCGCGCGTGTGGTGGTGATGCTGAACCCGATCTTTCCACTACGAGGCCAGGAGGGGAGGGGGGGAGGGCGCCTGGGAAGGCGGCACGTCGCCCTCGTAAGCAGGCCGGCCCCGGAGCCAGGAAGCCCCCACGCGTTCTGCTCGGTGCCTTTTTGCTTCCTGGGGGGAAAAAGCGCCGCCAGCCAGCCACCCCCCGGCCCGAGCAGAAACGGGCAAAGCCAAAAATCCCGAGGAAGCCGTGGCCGTGCCAGGCGGCAAGCAGCCCTGCCGGAGGCGGCCCCGCTCGGCGTCCCTTCTCCGGGATCCCTCCCTCCTAGCGGCTTTTCGCGCGGGCTGAGGCCGGGGGCGTAGGCCCGAGCGCTTCTCCTCGCAGCTTCCGACCGCCGCGGGCGCCTGGAAGGGAGTCCGAGGGCCCGCTCGGGTCCGGCTTCTGTCGGGGGGAGAGGTGTCTCTCGGGCGGGTCCGGCTGCTCGCCCTGCTCCCCCTTCGCGGGGCTCGGTCAGAGCCAGAGCGGGGTCTGGCGGCTCCCTCCACGGTGGGCTCAGGAGGGGCTGGGGGTGGGGCGCTGCCCGCCGCTGGACTGCGAGGGTCCCCTGCCCGCCTTTGCCGCCCGGCTGAGGGAGGGGAAGGGAGGGGAGGCTCGAAGCCGCCCCGCAGCCGCCTCCGCCCGTTTCGCGGCCCTAACCGCCCGCCCCGCTCTCGTCATCGGGGGGGGGGCGAGGCAGCCGCGCCTCTCCCGACGGGCCCCCCTCCCTGCCCGGCAGCCCCAGCAGTTTATAAGGGCGGCGGCGGGCAGAAGCAGGCAGGCGCGCGGACGGCATCTGGGCGGGCGTGGAGCCGGCGTATCTGCAGCAGATCTTCCGACGGACGGACGGACAAATGGAGGCGGCCGGGCCCGCGGAGCAGGGGAAGGTCAGCGCTGGTGGCGTCGCTTGGCGGAAAGAGGCGCGCGGAGTTGAGGCTGCCTGGCTCGGGCGGGCGGGCGCAGCGCGGATCCCAGGAGGATATGCGGAGCCCGGCCAAGAGCGCTCTGGGCGACCCAGCAGGGAAAGGGGGGGGGGGCCTCGGCCTCGGGCAGCCTGGGAGGCTTCGAAATCCCGCGGAGGGCCGGGGCCATCGCTTCTCCAGCTACGGTGGGTGTAAGCCGCCATGGTCGCAGCAGCGAGGACTCCGCCCGGACTGCCTCCGGCTACCTCGGTCCGGCTGCTTGACCGGGGTCCGTTCGGAGGAGAACCGACGTGAGTGAGTGAGAGAGAGAGAGAGAGAGGTCGAAGCCCGGCTGGTTTGGAGCTCCGGAGGGGTGCCGGCAGCAGAGTGGGCTCGGCTAGGGTTGCTCCCCATCCGAAGTCTTCCCGAAGACCCTCAGCAGGTGTCAAGGTCACCTGGAGGTAGGAGGGAAGAAGCCCCGCGCCCGACCTCCAAAGGGGGACAAGATCCACCCCAACCCCCCTCCCTCCGTCCTTGCAAATGCCAGCACTGCCAAGGGGAAGGCAAGATGTGAACAAGGCGCTTTTGCAGATTTCCTGCCATTTTGCTGCCTCTTCTTACCCCCCGCCCCCCGCCTTCCTCCCGCCATTTGTACTGTGTGTGGCTGCAAAGGGTGCTGGGTGGAACAGACCCTCCATCCGTTGAGGGTGGCAAGCAGAAGGGTTGCACGGGGGTGGGGGGGGGAGGGTTGCTAGCAAATGGCTCCCAGGGCTAGAACATCAGAAGGAAGGAGGGAGCCTCCAGCCCCTGCCCTTCAAGGCCGTCCCAGGGTTTCGGAAGCAGAAAGCCACGTGGTCTGTGGAAAGAAATTGCAGCTGGAAGGCCAGAGGGGCCCAGCCAGCACCCCAGCTTGCCCCATCGCTAAAGGGTTGGCCTGCAAAGCCATCCAGCTCCCCCTCTGACTCTCTGCACTGCACAGGAGTTGGCAAAATGGCATCTTCCCACCTCACTGCGGTTGCCTTGAGTCCTTCAGACCCTGGAGCTTGTTTGTGGCTCTGCGATTGGGTCAGCCTTAGGGTTCCCCCTCAGCCCTTCAGCCTTTGTCCTTCATCCTTGGGGGATAACTTGCATACCTGCCTTGGGCTGTTGGGGGATTTTCACTGTGTTTGAGAGTATTTAAGAGTGATAGCTGAGGGGGTGCTAAGAAGCCTTAGCTGGACATTTGTTGGAGGTTCAAGACACAACCTCAGTCATGAAAGTGGGCGCTAAATCCCTTCCCAACACACACGTCCCCTTGAATCTATTTGTGCAACCGTAGAAGAACCGGTTCTCTGCCTCTGATATCTTTTAGCATCACAAAAATTAAAAAGCAAACCTGGCCAATAAAGCTGTTAAAATGCAAACAAAAATGGGGAAGAGATAGCAAAGTGAACACCACTTCACTGGGAGCAAAGATTCCTCTCTGGACCAGGAGAAGATTTGGGATAACCCACAAGTGCTCCAGACAGTTGCTCCTAAAGGGGAGACAGCAATCTGCAGTGACTTTAGAACTCTGGGCAATGAGGAAAGAGGCGACTTGCTCAAACCACATTTGCTGCCTTCAAAAAGACACTGCAACTTCCTTTTCTATTGCTTTTTTTTTTTTTTTAGATTTTAGGAACATTCAGAAACAAGTTTTTACAATACTAGTTGAATTTCTTTCAATCTTTAGTGGAAGAAGTTTTAAAACCCAAGTTTAAGGATATTTTTGTGGAATAAAGAGCAAAAAGGTGATTACAGTGTTGATTTTAGAAAGTTGCAAACTGACTAAGAGTCCATATATGAAATATAATGTTGAAATTAATTATATGACTACTTTCGGTGAAAAAATGCTGTTATAAATCCTTTAAAAAGAAGATAGGATGGAAGTTTAAAGGTTGGACACTAGAGGGAACCAGAAAGAACTAAACAGTACAATTAAACTCTGACTTAATATAGAATGGAGCAGAACACGTTAACATTGGATGTATTGAAAGATACTTTTGAACAGTGAAACCAGACACTAACTTTAAAAGAGCCTGCCATTATAGATTCTTTTTAAAAGATGCGATGCAAGAGGTTTTACTAAACAAGGCTGACCTGAAAGCGGATTTTAAAATGGCATGCCATAAGAATGATATGGCAAAGTCCTACACTGGATATATAAATGAAACCAGTTGATGTCCTAATAATTAAAAAGTATATATCAACCGAGTGACCAGTGTAATTATTTTATACTGGATTTACAAAACAGGCATTAAAATTTTGAAGAATTTTGAGAGAAGGACCAAAGGAAAAATGAAATCAAGCTATCAAGATTAAGATTGTTAAAAATAAGGAATTTAAGGTTGGTTTATTTGACCAAGGTTAAAGTAGATATGTTGTTAACTCTGGTAACTCTTAATATAAGATGAGGGAAAGACGGCATCATCTATTGTATTTTAATAGAAGGTGAAAAGTAAATATATAAATTCTTTATATTTTTTGGTGGTGAAGAACGAAGCCATTTATTTTTATCATCTATATTATTTTTACTATATTATTTTTATTTTATTTTTAATTATTGCACTATTTTTAAATTTTTATTCTTTCAGTTTCTATTCGTTTTTATATTTTTAATTGTAATAGTTAATGGAATTATCACATATACAAAGAACTCCCTAATTCTGGAAGCGCAAGGGGACGGCTACCTGTTGCAGGAACCCAGTTTACTTTCCATTGGCAGCCTGAAATCTGGGCCTCCCACGTGGCTTGGCTCCCTCCGGCCCAAAGGGGACCCAGGAGTCGGGCAAGGGGGGGGTCAGCTGGGGGGAGGAATCAGATCCACTGGGGGCAGCAACCAAATGATTTCCCACCTGTCTTTTCATTTTGCCTATTGCTATGGAAACATGGACTTGGGTGGGCGGAGAGCCCATCTGCTGGGGAAAGGATAGCGAGGGGGCGTGGGGGGGTTTTACCTTAGGATTTGGTTGTGGGGTGCAGCAGCCCTGTGGAAAAATGGGCACCCAGAGATGTTTGGCAAGAGGCAGAGCATGAAGCCGGCCTGGAGTCTCTCAGCCACCCTCAGGACAAGAGGTTGCCCCAAATGTTGCACCTAATGGAGTGTGGAGAGCCAGCTGGGGCCCTGACTTCTGCCCGGGAGACCCTGGGCCACTGCTCCCCGCCCAGCCCTAGGAAGAAGCCAGTAAGGCAGGCCCTCTGAAATCTTGCCCAGGAAACTGCAGGGACTGTGCGGGGGAAGGGGATCGGGGTGGGGGTGGGGGTGGGATGACCTCTAATGAAGGATGAGAAAATGGGCTTTGAAGGATCTGACGGAGGAGGAGGAGCTGCCATGAGGCGCTTTGCGGGGGGGGGGGGGGGCGGGAAACGTGAACCGTAACCCTGCTGTCTTTCTAGAAGATCACCTGCTCCCTCCTCGCTGCTGTGTCTGTGGCAGCCATCGGATCCCTCCAGTTCGGGTACAACACGGGGGTCATCAATGCCCCTGAGGAGGTAAGGCGGGGGGGGGGGACGAGGCCTGGG